GCGGGGGGGCATGCGGGCCTCGGCCGCCTCCCGTCCCTCTAGCGGGGGGTCACTGCGTGCCGCCTCGCTCGGCGGCTGCTCCGTCATCCTGCGGGCAGACAGACAGACAAGCGGACGCCCGCTCTGACAACCACTCCCAGTCCACCGACGTAGGGTGGGTGAAGGGGGTAAAGGGCAGAAAGAGAAACTCAGGCGCCGAGACGTAAGAAAAGGCGACAAACTTAGAGCCACATGGACACACTCTAGGAGCCTAAAGCGCGGGAGGGAAAGGGGGTCTCTGGTTTCGGAGAAGAGGGGAGGGTGCCTGGAAGACACAGAGATGGAGAGCCAAAAGGACAGAGATGGAGAAAGACCATAGAGACATTGTAAGGAAAGGAATACAGCCAGCGAAAGAAAAACAGAAGGGAAAAAAAGGAGGAAGGAAATGTAGAAAGAGGCGAGAAAGAAATATCACCCCGTCCCCCTTCTCAGGCCGCAAGGGAAGAGGAGGGAACAAATCCCCCCGCCGAGTTCTTCCCGCCCCTCTTTTGATTTTGGCGGGGAATTTGTACCGCGGAGGTAGGGTGCTTTTTGAACCTTCACCTCCCAGCAATATCTGTCCCCCGCCTACTGCTACACACATACACTCGGAAACCTGGTGAGGTGCAAGTAGGGAGTTTAGGGAATGGAGGCTACAGGGCCTGGGGTCCACTCTGCCGAAGCTGCCAGAGAATTATCCCGAGGAACCAGCACCTGCGTTCAGCATGTATTTACTCCCTGCGGGGGTGTCTGTCTACACTAATCAAATCCACTGTGTAGTCTATACAGCTGCTGGAAACCTCAGCGGCCCTCTACTCTCACCAGACCAGAGGTGAGACATCAGGAAGGGACGATGATCCCGGACCTACCTCCCTGCACACTCCACCTCCTTCTGCTCAACGCGACTCAGGAGTGAGGTGGGGTCTGGAAGGGAGGCCTGGCCGAGGCAGTACGGAGACTCCACATTCAAAGGCCACCCCTGAGGCTTATTGGGGTCTGGGCTCCAATCCAGACACAGGAAGGAGTGATATGAAAGCCCTTAAACTCTTCCAGCACTACTCCATCCTCATTCAGCCTCAGCGTGTCCTCTGGGAAATGGGAAGAATACCTCCTTTACATATTTAAAAAGCACTGAGCAAATGGTCTAGTAAACATTATTGCTGACATGGAGACTGGGCCACAAAAGGGGACTGCTGCCTTGCCCAAGTCACACACACCGATTCACAGCAGAGCAGGACCAGAACTCCGATCTGGCTCTGTCTGCACTATCCTCCATATGTAGCCTTCCATATATACCCCCGGAGTTAAGGACACTCCTCTACTTCACAATCGTACTCCAGGATAACCAGAGGCTCCACTCTCCAGGAGAGTCTGCTCAGGTTCTTTCAATACCCTGCTTCGTTGCTGATGGAGCCCAGCCCCACCAAGAACTGAAACAAAACCATGAGACTCTGGGTCCAGAGACTGGGGATGCTTGTAAGTTGCTTTATTTTTAAAACAAACGAAAATATAGTTAACTCGACAGGCTTCATAAGATGTTCAAAATAAGGTTTCTGCTCTCAGATTATATAACTGGGGTATTTTATAGCAGAAAATAAATACACGAAAATCCAATTCAGCCCCAAGCGGAGTCCATCTAATCATTCACGGCAGCCATTGAACTCCCATTCTCCCACTGCACCACTCAGGACCAGAAGGGAGACCTGGGCACCGTCTTCCCACCCCAGAAAAGAGATTGGACTTTCTGAGACCTCCTCCGGAGCTCAGCTCAGTTGCAACCCGACACACAAACCGATGGGGAATCCCCATTTAGATTGCGCTTTTTTCCGAGTGTGCCAGCCTTGTGGTCCTGCCGGAAACAACAAAATTCCCCGAGACCGAGACCTGGTGTACAGGAGCTGCAAACGCAGTGGGTCCCGCAATGCTTCACTGGAAGCAAGTTTACAAGGATGGTGGAAACAATAGATCTGAATCCACAGAATGGGATAGCCAAGACACTTTGGCCCCAAGAAATGCACCCAAGGTACACCAGTCGGGGCCTCCTGGCTCCCCTGAAGCAGTGAAATGCACTAGAAATATACCATCCCATGGCAAAATACACAAGCCCCAAGGTGCTGGTTCCCTACCTTACTGTCCTAATTTGTGGTAAGCCCAATGACATGTGCTTCAGCCCCAGTTTCTAACCGAGTGACAAACGGTGTGCACTGGATTTGCCGGACTGAGCTCAGGCTCTCCTCATGACACATTAATACCCTCTGATTAATTCCATGGTGCCCGGCTTGGCGTAGGAGCAGATCCCTGAGGGGCAAGGGGAGCACATATTCCAGATGAGTTGACCATGGCCCCAAACGCTCTCTCCAGATGCCTATAAATATCTATATCTCCAAGGCTTTCTGTAGGAAACCTACAATTGGTCCCCAGGGTGTGTGGCCCACCACTTCCCGCCCCTCCCGGCACCTCAGGAAAACCCCAGGGGACTCTTCTGCAACCAGGATCACCCAGGCCAGGGGTCCAAGCTCCGGAGGAAGCCACCGGGGGACCCACAAACACCTTTGGTTGTTGTTGTTGGTTTTTTTTGTTGTTGTTGTTGTTGGTTTTTTGTTGTGTTTTTTTTTTTTTTTTTTAGCAACTAAACCCCATTTCTTGGCTTGGGTTAAGATTACTAAAAGGAAAGCCTGAGTAATTTGTGTTTGTTTATTTGTTTTTATTTGGGGAAGATGAAGGAGGAGGTTTCAAACTGAATGGCACTAGAATATTCGACCATTACAATCCTCTTTGTGTGGCCAAGCCCAGCTCACAGCCCCCAACACCGGATTCTCATCTGTTGCCAAAGGCCAGAACATTTCCGTGTGTGCTTGAACAAGACAGGGGATCCGGGGAGTTCCTGGGAGGGCAGGCACCAGGTCTCAGGCGGCTCCCAATTCCAAAATGGAGAATTTCTTCTATAAAAATTCTCTGCCGTGCCAGGGGGCTAGAGCCACCGCCTTAGACCAGGCCTCCTGTCTTCACACAGCACGCACACCAGCAAGACACCCTGGGGGAGCCCCAAGCATAGGCGAAAACCAATATCTCCAGTGAAGAGAACCCCTTCTCGGCTGCCACTGGAGTGGAGGGGCTTCCAGCGCGGCCACGCCCTAGGCCTTAGGTCCCAGTCCTGTCCCACCCGAGTTGGGGCTGCGCTAGCTAAGCGGGATGGCCGCCGCCTTCTCCCTGCTGCGGGAGGCCCTGGCTCAGGCAACCTGCACCACCCGGATACAGACGCACCGGAGTTAGGAACCTTGGAAAACTTCACAGAACCAGGACAGAGGGGGCAGCCTGGGGACTAAGTCCAACCAGCTGTTTTTACCCAGGAAAAGGCCCTGCTGGAAACCACAGAATAGAGGCACAGAGGCCACATTCAGCGACAGAGTCAGATCCCAGATTCCCAGCTCTGGTTCGCCCTCTCTTCCCCCTCCATCTGAGACTGGGCTGTCCTCTGTCCTGAGCCTTCTCGACCCTGGACCAGAATCCAAGGCCTTCCTGGACACTGTTTCCACCGATACCCGTTTCCCCCAAACTCACCTGGGGCATATTTAGAGAGACCGCCCCCTCTGATTAGGATCTCCACTCCTCCGCCGGAGAGGGGCGGGAGCCGAGGTCCAGGTCGTGGACGGGGGTCTTTGCTTCCCCCTCTCTCCCTGAGAAACCAGCAGTTAGGCCGTAGCGTGGTCCTGGGCGGTCTGCCGCGCCCAGAGCGAGTTTCCAGGAAAAAATGGGGGTGGAGAGAAAGAGGGAGGGCGAGAGGAAGGGAGAGAGAGAAATGGGGGTCAATGGCTAGGAATTACCTCACGTCCTCGCCAACCAGCCCAGGGAATCACGAACAGCTTTCCACCCCCAATCTGCAGGTGTCTGAAGCCTCCCCCTACCCCATAAAAAAAAAAAAAGAACCATACACCTGACCAATCAGGAATAACTATTTAGTCCAGCACCACCGACAACAGCCCCACCGCAGACTGCCCGGAACATTTTCGGACCCTCCAACCGGGATGTCTGATTCTGTGTGGCCGAGTGTGTTTTCTAAGCACTGACGTGTCTACGCGGTTGGCTCTGGAACCAGGTCAGGCCAGAGCTGAGGCCACGGCGCGGAGTCGTCCACAGCCTGGCCTGGGCGGGTGCAGGGATGTGTGTTGGAAAAGGGGAATCCAGCTTTCAGACCCTAATCCGTGCGGCAGAACCTCTGAGCCCCTCATTCTCTCCATGGCCCTCACCTGCCCACCCCCAGCCCAAAGCGAAACCAGAACCCAACTGAAAGGCTGCTTTCCCGCAAGAATGAAGTCGGAACGCGCGGATCCGAAGATGGGGCGGGCGGGTATCTGATCAATCCAGATCCCGTTTTCTTCCCAGTGATTAAGAAAAAAAGGAGAAAGAAAAAGAAGGAAGGAGGGTGGGGGGAGAGAGACAGAGAGAGAGAGGAAGGGAGAAGAGAGAAAGAAGCCCCTGTCTTCCCCTCAACCGTCCCCACACAACGATTTTCGATTTTTTGGGGTTCAGACCAGCAGAAAAGGGGAGAATTCTAATTATTCCCCGCAGCAATAAACAAGGCAAAGGGAGGGAGGGTAAAATCAAACGCACTACTGCTTCCCAGGATGTAGCGGTATCGAGATTTAGGTTGCCTTTTTTTCTTCCGGAGGTTTTTTAAAATTTGTTTTGCCTAAATCATCTAATTTATGATCACGCATGGAAGTCTTGAATTAATTGCATAGGCCTCCTTCTTTTTGCCCAGACTTTGGTGGAAATGTAGGAATAATTCTTCCCTCCAGTTTCAATTCAATGCAGATTTTCTTTC